ATGCGCCGAATCCCCTGTGTATAATGAGGAATGACTGTGCATATAAAGTACTTGGAACAATGCCTGATACTTAGTAAGTATACTTGCTGTGAGCTGTTACCATTATTATAGCATTTAAATGCTGTGACAAGTCCTTTAGTCACTATTTGAATTTTGTTTACATTATTTTTGGAAAAGGCTTCCAATGGCTAAGCTCCATGGACTCTTCTGCAAGTACACACAGTTTGGGACAGGGAGACATATGTTTATATTTGGATAGAGAAATATCACTTAGAGCTTTTGGATATCTGCTTTATTTACCTTCAGGGAAGTATATTAAGAAATTCTTTTGGGTAAAAATCAGTCCTATTTCTAAGCTGGACATACTTTTGTCAATAGTTATTGTTCTATCTGCAGTCTTTTCAAAATAAAATGTACCCAGACTCTCACCACCTTCTGTTGATATGTTCATAGTTCAAGATCATGTTGATAGTAAGAGGATGAAAGCAGATTTAAGCAAAATCCATTTTCTTGTATATTAGGAAAAAAAAAAACAAAACCTTTTCACAAGCCCAAAAGAAAATGTAGCACTTCCAGTTCTATGCAAAAACAGTGGATCCATGACCACTAAATAGTTTACAAATTTTGTGGTACTTGCATTTGGCATCCCAAACCCATTTTCCAGCAACTGCTACATCTCATTTCTCTACATCTCTTTAGGGGAAGCTAAGAAGGAACCCACAGATGAAATTCTGCTCCCTTGAGGATACTAAAATATCAACACAGGCAATCTCCTGCTGCCTTTTCCTCCATCCTTCATCACCTTGGCAGATCACAGCTAAAGAAATGTGCAAGATGCAGATGGATCAGGCTGCCTAGTCTCACCTGGGCCTTCACTGGTACTAGGCAATCACTTTATCTCCTGTTGACTTTTAAAGCATCCACCCTGACAGCTTTTAACAAACCCAGGGTCACTTCTCTTATCCCCATATTTGCAACCTCCAAATCTGGCACATATCTCCTCACTCCAGCACAGTTGGTTTCAACTTAAGTGAGGCGGCAAACACGACCTGAAAAACCTTTGCAAATGATATGCAGGTTAACCACTACTAGCTACTTCCTCCCTTCCACCCCAAAATGCTTATGCCCCTGTTTGGGAAAACAAGTCAGACTCTCAGGGAGAAGCATATGTAGTCAAAAAGGTGACCTCCTTGTGTATAAAGACCTAATCTTATTCATTTCTATACTCAGCACTTAACTTAGTGTCTAACATACAGCAGGCACTCAGCAAAGATGCTAAATGAATATACAAACCACTGAAATAGTTTGTTAAATAGTTTATTTAGGTAATCCATCTTATGATCACCAAATTCAAGTGCTTCTTTGTCAGTTTACAGCGTTGGCAGCATTTTCATAATATTGTGACAATATACTATAGTGTCTGAAAGTGCAGGCTCTGGATCCAAATTCATGCGTTAGCACATGGGCTGCACTGCCATGCAATAGCTCTGCAACTTTGGGCAGAAAGTTAATGAACCTCTCTAAGCTTTAATGTCCTCATCTATAAAAACAAGTATAATAAAGGCACCTACCCTAATAAGCTACATTGAAAATTAAATGTTACTGCATCTAAAGAACTTAGAAGAATGTTTAGAATATAGAAAATGTTTCATAAATATGAGCTAACATTATAATTATTATTATTAAAGCCCACACTCTACACTGAAATTTGTTCCTTGGCTTTTGTGACCTTGCCCACCATCATTCTCCTCCTGACTTCTTCAGTTGCCTCCTTTATCCTTTTTGCTCCCTAAGTGTAGAGGTTTCACTTACAGGTCTATCCTCACTGCTTTTCTTTGCTCTCACCCTTGGCAACCTCATTTAACCCCTATGGCTTAAACTTTCATCCTCATGTGGATGAAGTCTACCTTGACTTCTCTCCCCTGAAAATCCAACTCAACCAGTTGCACACAATACAAACTTAAGTCATCACCGTATCTCCAATTGGCAAATCTCATTTCCCTAGATCTGTAAAAACTTGAGGAATTAGGAAAGAGATTAGCTTCAAAGAGTATAACTCTAAGATGAACATACAATGGTTCAAAGCAATGATATCACCAAAAAGAGAGAGAAAGGAAATGAAGCTAGTGGAACTAGACATCCTTAATCAGGCTGAAGGTATTCATATTTAAAAAAAAAAACCATAGCAGTCTACAGTGGCCTAAACTGGCAAGTAATTTTTGGTTATGATGTAGGTTCCCGCATATCTTAATTACACAGAGAGAAAGCATTCTTCTTGCCCACACAAATATTAATCCCTGTGACAGTTATATTTCACATTGTGAATTAACTGATTAAAAATATGAACTCTGAAGCCAAATGCCTAAATCTGAATGTGGTTTTGGTATCTATTAGTTTGTCACCACAGGCAAATTACTTAATCCTTTTTGTGTCGAATTCCTCATCTATAGAATTAGTATAATGACAGTATCTACCTCACTGGATTATCACGAGGAACAATGAGAAAATATACATGTAGAATAATGACTGATACATAAAGTGCTCAATAAATGGTAGCTACTGTTAGCCTCACATGCATTTTGGCTGCTTGAATTGGTTTGCTGTGGCCTGATCCTGGTATGCATGAATCCAGTCCAGGTTCCACCAGATTAAGATCCTGAACAACCTTTTCCTTAGACCAGGAGTTCTTAATCCAAGGGCCATAATAAGCTGCAGATAAATTTTATGCAAAATTGGGTATAAATGGATGGTATATATTTTTCTAAGACAAGAGGCTGTCATCAGCTCCTCAATAAGTACATGACCTTGAATAGATTTTTGGAAACAAAACAAATCTACTGCCTTAGCATGACCACTACTATTTTCACCATTTTTTTTTCCTCTGCTTACATGAATTCTACATCTGCCCTGGCCTCTATTCAATAAGTTATAATATTTTAAAAATTCTCTCTTTGCAATGTTATTCCTGTTTAATCCTTTCAATTTTCAATATAACCAAGGTTACTTCTCCAAAGAACTGTAATAATATCACTTCCTCTGCTCAAAAACATGGCTTCTGTCTCAAGTCCAAATAGCTTAGCTGGACATTTACACCTCTATGTCTTGGCCACAATTTACTCTTCCAGCCTTGTCCTTCATTCTCTTCCATAAATGGCCCTAAGAGAGTCATTTGCCATTAAGAAACTCCATACAACTTTCCTTCTACAGCTCATTCTACTCTGTCTGGCATGTCTCTTCACCACCTTCTATCCATCTTTAATACCACTTCCTCAGTAAGTCAATGTCCTTCAACACTTGCTCTCTTTAATATATAAGGACCATTAACATGGGTATAGGCAAACATGTATCAGAGTTTCTCAAGCTCAGCATTTTACTGGCACTGCGAGTTGAATAATTTTTTGTTGCAAAGGACTGTCCTATGTGATGTAGGACATTTAGGACATTTAGCAGCATCCCTGGCCTCCAGACACCATCAAATGTTCTGGGGCTGTTGGGTGGAAGATCGCTCCTGGTTGATAACCATTATATACTGTAACAAATATATTTAATTTCCCCTTCAAATTCTTTGAGGACAAGGACTATGACCTTGCTTATTTAATAGTCTCAGTATTACCAAATACTGACATAGATTTAGGTAAGTATCTATCTGTTTCCTGCTAACCTTTCGAAAGTTAGTAAACAGAACACAAAACATTCTAACCTGTGCTTCTTGATATTCATTAAACTTGAAATACTAAATTTCAATTTAGCTTTTTAAAAAAAAAAAAAAAAAAAAAAGACCAGGTCTCACCAGGCTGCAGTGTAATGGTTAGACCATAATCCACGGTAACCTTGAACTCTTGGGCTCAAGAGATCCTCCTGCCTCGGCCTCCCAGGCAGCTGGGATGACAAACAAACACCACCATGCCTGGCTAATATTTTTTTTTTTTTTTTTTTTTTGGGTAGAGACAGTGTCTCACCATGTTGCCTAGGCTGGTCTCAAACTCCTCGATTCGAGCAATCCTTCTGCCTTGGCCAAGCAGAGCTTTTAAAAGGCAAAACCTGCTATGTCATAATATCCCTATAATTTTTAACAAATAGTATCAGTTTTCAGGTCAGGAGTTCAAGACCAGCTTGGCCAACACAGTGAGACCCTGTCTCTACTAAAAATACAAAAATTAGCCAGGGATGATGGCAGACACCTGTAATCCCAGCTACTCAGGAGGCTGAGGCAGGATAATCGCTTGAACCCAGGAGGCGGAGGTTGCAGTGAGCTGAGATGGAGCCACTGCCCTCTAGCCTGGGCAACAGAGTGAGACTTCATCTCAAAAAATATATATATTAAGTAGAAAATAAACTTCTATATCACCTACATAATAGCATTCTAACACTGAAGACTTACAGAAGAGTAATACCATCTCCTCCTTCCTTTAAAAACCTATGTTCTAAGAAATATAGTGTTACCTCAGTTGAATGCTTAGAAACAGTCAAAGCCTAGTTAGTGACAGAGGTAAGGTTTCAATTCAAGGCTCCTAAATTAGGGTTAGAATCCCTACTGGTCCTTTGCTGTACATTAGAATCCTCTGCAGAATTAAAAATAACGGATCTCTGGGCTTCCCTCCAGATCAATTAAATGAGAATTAGGGAATGGTGCTAAAGATTTAAATTGTTTTAAAAATCCCCACTGTATGCTAATGTACAGCCATAGGTGAGAACCACTGCTCTCTAGACTGGTTCAAAACTTCACATATTTTGACAGGTATAAAAGGCTATCTCTTCAGGAATGTCTGAAACTTATTCTCTAACTTGCTGGGCTTGGGCGTTGCATGTGGACACTTATCCTGAATTAAAAGAAGGGCTGTTGTTACTTGATAGAAAGTCTTGACTGTTGTAAAGAAAAAAAAAATTAAAAAATAAATAAATAAATAAAAGAAGTGCTGCTTTTTTCCGGCATTACCAAGATGCTTATGCCAAGGTTCTTAAGCTGCTCTCTCTACCACCCTCAGAAGCTAGGCACTTACACTCCTCTTTACTTGGTGAAGTTACATTCAGTTCTGTCGGAAGCGGCTGCTGGCTGGGACTAAGAGTTGGCGTGGTTATCGAGGTATTGTTGTTGTCACTGGTGGTCTCTTCAGAAAACAAATCTGATTGGCTGTTACTTGTACTTGGAGCGGAATCATCGTCTGGTTGTTTCTTTTGAAAATCTGAAGAAAAACAGAAAATCAGCTTAATTAAGGAGTTCACTGTCTCTGAGGATTAGAAAACAATGAAAGTTGATAAAAAGTTAGATGCAACAACAGCAATAATAAAAGACTGATCTGGGTGATTAAAAAACCATGGAAGTAAAACACCGGTCAAAAACATTTAAGATTAGTGGAAGGTGACTGGAGTTAAAAGTTTTCCAAGGTCTCTTATTATTCAGAAGAATGCAGACATACTGATTTTAATTGTTCGGCTCTGCAAAGCCAGAGATGCATGTTAAAAATTTAAGGGTAATCAGTTGAAGGGAAAAGGGAATAAAGAACAGTTTTTCAAACTTTTCAGAAGGAAAGGTCGTAAGAAAAAAGGCGGCACAGAAAGCAGCAGAGTAAACAGAAAACATAACAAGATGGTAGCAGTAAGTATAAATAAGTCAGTAATGGTAATAAATGTAAACAGACTGAATTTATCAGCTAAAAGATAGACAATTTGGAGTAAAGTCAAGTTATATTCAATTTACAAGGGACATAATAAAAACATAAATATGAAAGGATAAACAAAATGTTAAAGTACAGTTAATCCTTGAACATCATGGGTTTGAACCGTGTGGGTCCACTTATACGCAGATTCTTTCCAACCAAATGCAGATCAAAAATACAACATTCACGGGATGCAAAACTCATATATGGAAGGTCTACTTTCCATATACGATGGTTCTGCAGTGCAGATTGATGGATTTGAGTATGCAGATTCGGGTATATGCAAGGGAGTCCTATAATCCCCAAGTATAAAGCAGGCATACAAAGTTCAAACTCTGTCGTTCAAGGGCCAATTGCACTTAAAGCAAAAATGGTTATATTCACAAGAAACTGACAAATTTCCTACAGGGGACGATTTTAATATACCTCTCACACAAAATAATAAGCATACAAAGACCAAGTATACAACAATTAGAGAATGAATCATTTTCAAGCACATGGAATATTTACAAAAGTGATTAAAACCTGGCTAAATCTTGACCACATATTAGAATACAAACCAAAAGTCTCAAGAAATGCCAAAGAATTACTAAGATAGAGACAATACCTGACCATAGGGCAACTGAGTTAAATACTACTAAGAAAAAAATTCTATATACTTGGAAATTCCCCCAAAAAATAAACAAAAACATTCTAAACTCATGGGTGAAATCAAATTATAAAATACTTATAATTAATGAAATTATTACATATCAATATCCAGTAAAGATAAAAATACACATACACTACCTACACCCGTCATCTAATCCCTAGATATACACCTGAGAGAAACTCAACACACATATTCAAAGAGACATGTACAAGAATATTAAGTCAGAAAAAGCCTTAAGGTCTATAAATAATGGCACAAACAATGGAATAATGTACATAATGGAAACAACTATTGTCACATACATCAACATGAATGAATCTCACGATCATGAAGTTGAGGGAAAAAAGCAAGCCACTAAATAACAGTAGACTGTGCTATTTTATATAAACCTTAATAACAGTCAAAACTCAGATATACTGTTTTGGGATTTGTATGCTTAAGCCCCCCTCCCTTTTTTTTTGAGATAGAGTCTTGCTATGTCACCCAGGCTGGAGTGCAGTGGTATGATCTTGGCTCACTGCAACTTCTCCCATCTGGGTTCAGGCTAATTCTCCTGCCTCAGCCTCCCAAGTAGCTCGGATTACAAGTGCATACACTACCTACACCCCAGTCATCTAATCCCTAGATATATACGCTACCATGCCTGGCTAATTTTTGTACTTTTGTAGAGATGGGGTTTCACCACGTTAGCCAGGCTGGTCTCGAAACCTGACCTCATGATCTGCCTGCCTTGGCCTCCCAAAGTGCTGGTATTACAGGCATGAGCCACTGCACCTGGCCTTAAACCTTTTCAAAGTCCCCAAATATTAATGTAATTCAGAATAGCAGTTACATGATAGATTGAGGAAGGGTGGTGTGGTGACAGGCACACAAAAATATCCAAAGACAGGTAATGTCCATTAATAGAAAGTTGGTTTTAAAATGCTCTACAGCGATTAAGTGAATAAGGCTACAAGTAAAACAGAAAAATCTCAAAAAGCATATTGAGAAAAGCAAGCAAGCTACAGAAAAAGGTACACAGTATTATAATACTCATATAAAAATTTAAAATATGTTAAGAATACCATATATTGTTTATGGATACATGAATGATAATAATTACAAGATAAAAACACTCAAGGAATTCAGGATAGAGGCTAGATTTAGGATAGAGGCTACCTCTTTCAAGCCAAGGGAAAAATAAGGAGAAGAACGGGTCTTCTATCCTGTTCCGTAATTTTTTTTAGTTCTTAAGCTGTTGGTAGGTATCTCAGTGTGATTATTTTCTATATTCTCTATATATTTAAAAAATCTAATCTACTCTATGAAGTACAGATTATATTAATTCAGAGAAGTACAAGATCCTTACAACTTGATATAGCATTCGAACCACAGGGAAGTGTTGATATCATACTCCGTAACTTCATCAGAATCACTGCCTTTTGACATATTCTAAGCATAAGAATAGGTAGCATTTATGATGCATTTATTATATGCCAGGCACCTAACTAAATGTTTTATGTGTATGACTTATTTATGTTAATACTCAGGGAAACCCTAATAAGGTAGGTATAAGTAACATCATTTTAATGATAAAGGAATTTAGGTTCAGGAAGTTTAGGTAACTTGTTCCAAGTTAACAGCTAATAAGTAGCAAGGACAGGTCCATTTGACAACAAAGCCCATGGTCTGCAATCACAACAGGATGTCGCGTTGTGATCACCAGAATGGCCCAACGAAGAGACCTCCATGTCAAACCTCTAGCCATTTCTAGCACCATTAGTGAGTGCAATGAATGTAGCCAGTTAGTAACTGCTAAGGTGATCAGTGCTCTAAAGCTCCCACTGCTTCTTTTCTGTGTATTTCTCCTAGCCACTTTCTTGTTCTTCCGTTTTGACATTTTAAAAATGCCTTATTACCTCAGTGTTATTTGTACAGCACCTTCAAGAAAAAGGTACTATATCAATGGAATAAAAATACTGCAATAATGCTTCTTCTATGTCATGTCATCTCATTAGCTCTCTTATGTCAATAATCACTGTGTCCCTCCCACAAGTATCTAACATTTCATTGGAAATGTTATACAGTCCTGAAAGAACGGAAACTGAGTCATCATTGTACCATTTAGCACAATCCCAATGCATGGAGACAGATGCATATACGGAAACTCACTCACTCAGGCACAATAAACCCTTTGAAGGTAAAGGATGTTGGTGTCTAAAGACAATTATTAATACCAGGTTCCACCCATACGCTCTTCAGCCCATGCTTGCCATGCTCCTTTCATGCTCAGGTACTTTGAAGTTTTCTTTTGTGAACTGGCAGTTCAGAACTTCAGGTATTCTTTTAGGAATAAGCAGTTGACAGAGGGTACCTTCTTTTAACCCACACTCCTTCTTTGCCTTTTCTATATCTGCACAGGCTGATGATGTCATAACATCATCAGGCTAACATACAAATTCAACTGGCTGCTCACAAAGAGAGGAGTCGAAGCTCTTATACATTCTATACTTGAATCTGAAACAGAATCCAGGAATCACAGAATGTTACAGCCAGTAATGACTTTAAAATTCAGCTCAATCCTCTTATTTTACAGATAGAGCAAGAGCTGAGAAAATTACTACAACTTACCAGAAATTCAAAGTTAGCAGTCTTCTAACTTCCATGCCAAAGTCTGTGCAATACAAAGAGCTTTAGAGTTAGACCTGGATTTAAATCCTTGATTTACTAGGCATATAGCTAAAAGCAAATTGTTTAATCTTTTGGGGCAAAAAACAAAGGGAGCTGGTTATTTATACCTCTCAGGATAATGTGGGTCAAATAAGATAATGTACATGAAGAACCTAGCATGTGAGTACTCAACAATGACAGAATTAAGAAGTAAAGGTATTTTCCTAACTTCAAGAAAGGGGCAGTAAGAGTTACCTCTTCATTTTGGCCCTGATATTTGCATCGTCGTTCTTATTCTCTTATGCCTTTCTTTCTGAATCCCACTCTCCTTGCTAATGATTGGTCGGATGGCTATGATTGCAGGGGCTGAGCAGGTTAGAGACACATTTGGTTTGCTACCAGCACCTCTCTATAAGATTCAAGTTCCAGTCAGCAGAGGAATGGAGTCATAACCTGACCTTTGGAATTAGCAACCAACTTCGGATTACTGCCCAAAAGAAAGAAATTCTCAGAAGTCTATTCCGAAAATGAAGGGGAACAGATTTATATTACATGTAAAGAAGTAAACAACAAAATATGAGGCACAGAGCCTGCCTCCCATCATTCTACACTGGAGAGCAGAAGATGAAAGGTCCAGAAACAGCCACTTCATCTGATTCAGATACAGTGAAGGTCTGTTCCCTTGATATATTGTATAATTCTCACATAAATTAGAAAACTAGAAATCTCCAAGCTTATCCATCTCTCTAAACGAGAAAAAAACTTAGGAATAATTAATTTCTAAGTTGGTTGAGTTAATGGTATATCCAAAGGTCTTAAATTTGTCTTTGAATAAAGTTGTGAGTCTGAAAGAAGTTTATGTGAATAAAGCTTCTCCACAGTAAACTGTTACTTGTAAAAACTGAGTTTAAAAAACTCTGAACTTTAATGGGCTTACTGAGTGAACCAGCAGCCCAGATCTTGGCAACTCACCTTATTATCAACTAAGGGGAAAAATAATTTCTCAAAAAAGTTAAGCTTGAACCTTTAGTACCCAGAAATGGAATGTCTCCACAAGATAAAGTGACCTAATAGTGCTAGCGCAGCCAAAATAACCAGCCCTGAGACTGGCTGCCCACATGCTCACTGGCGTATTTTTCTCAAACGTTTTCAGAATGATTTTTCACGTGTCAATCTTCTTACTACAAGATGCACCTGAAATACTGGGAGGACAATGAAAACACTT